GAAAAAATGCTGAGTTTACACAACTTCTCCCGTGCTGCATGTCTTGCCTAAACTGCCAATACATTACATGCTTATGTGAAAGCTCTTAGCCTCACTGTTGATCTTGTGTATAGGTGTATGTAGCTTAATACCACTAAGTTCAGTGGAGCAATTCTGCACTTTTACAACCTTAACTGAAAACCAGTCTGGCACATAACCTTTTTGAACATCGTGCAGATCTTTGTACATTAAACTCCTGAAATAGAAGGGGATGTGTCCATACTTGTGCAAGGCTTTTTGAACAGACTTTTGAGTTTGAAATGTGTTTCTTTTTTTGTTTGTTTGTCTTTAATTTTGTTAGTTATAATTCTTTTTCAGTTCTTTAGTGATTTAAGTTAACCGTGGTGGGTTAGTATCTAGTAAATAAGTGTGTTGGATTGAGAGTTCAAATATTTGATGTCAGTCCCTGGTCCTACTGTCAGCATACCATGTTGCTTTTATTGAATCTACTTTGTCTCCTCATGTCTTTCCTAGAATTATGTTTTCTAGAGCACCAAAGTGCCATTGTTTTTTGTCATGCTGTTTTCCCCTGGTTTGTTTGAATGTTCTTAAGAATTGTTAGTCCCGTTATGATTACTTACCTCTTTCAAAGCACTTTAAGATCTATCATTTAAAAATGAAAGAGAAACACCGCTAATTCTTGAAAGGTAGAAACACATTCCTCATTAAAAACAGTTGCATGCGTGTTGAAATCTTCATGGAAGGAGAAGTGTAATGCAAAGGAGCTCATCTACAAACAGAAGTTGCACCATTTCACTTGGATTTTTCAAAAGCCATTTTTATCAAGTATTTTCAAGTGGTGTTGCTTTGTAACTTATTTCACTTCACTAAAATCTATTTATTTGATAAATCAAAAAAATGTAAATGACTGTGTATATTGCTTTGTGCACAGAATCAATTTAAAATTACCTTTGGTTAAATCACTGCAACTTTCTCCTGTGGACCAGGTCTCTACAACTGGGAGAGGTTCAGAGTATGAATTATTCATGTGGTAGGTTCATACATTCAAGATCTGTGGTGAACCAGTCTTTGAGGAATAAAAAGAAGCTCGCTTTTTACAATTCAAGATGCAGATTATGTGTGCACAAGGTTTTTTTAAATGATTATTAAGACAGTATTTAGAATCACAGAAGAGTTGATTTTACTGGAAGGGACCCACGAGGAACATTGAGTCCAACTGCTGGCTCTGCACAGCACCACCAAACTCTATGAGAGCACTGTCCAAACACTCCTTGAACTCCAGCACTTAGGGCCATGCCCACTGCCCTGCGCAGCCTGTTTCATGCCCACCACCTTTGGTGAAGAACCGTTTCCTAACCTCCAGCCTGACCCAGCCCTGAAGTCGCCCTATGCTGTTCCCTCGGGTCCTGTCACTGTCACCAGCGAGCAGAGATCAGCACCTCTATTTGAGTGAAACAGTAGAAAGTCAGAAATTTGAATTTAAGTTTCCACTGGAGCCTTCTTGCTTGTGTATGTTACAGTATAGTCTTCAGAACTGTCTGCTTTTCTGCAGGATTCTATTTGGACCAGCTGTTCTCCAGCTCATGTCTGAAAGTTCTTTGAATTACTCCATCAGGCCAGACTGAGTAATGTTCCTCTGCAGTGCTGGGGTAACATCACCACCACTGAACAGGCACACACTTCTCCTGTATCCTGACAGCTCTTCATACGGAGCTTGGACCTATCAGCTTCCCAGGTAATGTCCTCAATGTCACACAAAAGTGAGAGGAGACCTTGGCACGTAGGAACTGTCAGCTGAACAATTAAGCGTTCAGAAGCTAATAAAAGGTGGCAAAGTGGAGTCCTAAGTGCTCACTCTGTGGATCAAGCATTTTCCTTCTTTCGGAATGACTCTTCCAGATCACAAAACATGCTTGCAAGTGTTTGTTGGGCATCAGGGGAGAGTTTACATGCATTTTTCCCTTTTACAGAACCCTTTTGGGGAATTTTCAAGTCATGAAACAATCACTCACAGAAAAGATTTTATCTCAAAGAAGTGAATACCTTGAAACAAACCCCCAAAACATTTCTTGGCTTCTTCCTCTTCTTTCACCATTGTGGCTGCAAGAAACATTCTTGTCTTGCAGTTGCTTCTCTGCTGGGAGGATAAAAAAAATGTCTTGAGAAACAGGAAATCATCCAGACTTGTCTGCTCAAAGCATTTGCCTTAATTTTTTTCCAGGGTTGTCACTGCACTGCTGCCACTCCTTCATGGTTCCCATCAGTCATAAGGAGCACATTGCCACCTGACATCCAAATAAGCTCCGTTTGCAGAACTCAAGGCTGGGTGGTCATACCAGAGCTCCTGGCTTACTCTTTGGCTGGAAGCGCTGGGAATACAAGCTGCTCCCCAGGCAGGAGCCTGCTTCAGGGCAGGAGGACCTGGAGCACAGGAAGGTGTTCCCCATTCTTGATTCACAGTAGTTGTATGGGAAATGGTAATTTCCATGGTCCAGTCCTCCTGAAAAGGAGTAAAATTATAGAGTTTGCATGGGTTGTGGTCATAGTAGCAAGCAGTTAATGTATATTTGATTGCCAGTTCATACGAGTATATGTAAACAAGCCTCTGGAGGTACTCAGAGTGCAAAAAGACAAAAGTCATCGGTGAGGTACAACTCCAGTGTTGTAATGCTTAGTAAGTAGAAAGAAACTTATCACCAAACTGGTTGCCTATCATAGAGTTATAGAATGACTTGGGTTGGAAGGGACTTTAAAGATCAGCTGGTTCCAACCCCCAGCCTTGGGCAGGACGGCTACCCACCAGCTCAGGCTGCCCAGGGCCCAGTCCAACCTGGCCTTGAGCCTCCAGGGATGGGGCACCACAGCTTCTCTGGGCAGCTGTGCCACTGCCTCACCACCCTCTGAGTAAAGAATTTCTTACTCGGGCAAAGACCTCGTAGCTGAAGTGTAAGGATTTGTTTGCTGCTGGCTCCTGGATAACAATCAGCCTGCAGAAACACTCCTTGCAGTCCTCTGCTTAAGTGCTTAATGTGTAACTGTTTATCCTTTTCATTACTTGGACATGTTGGGTATTCTTCCTTTTCTTTCCTGCATTTCTAGTTTCTCAAGCTGAAGGTAAGAGCACTGGAGACAGCAGGGCAGGCCCAGCACCTCCTGGGTACAAGGACAGACCAAAGCCAGACCAGGCCATGGGCTTTTGAGGGGGCCTGGCTGGGCAGGGATGGTGGCCAGGCTGTGGGGAGCTGAGGCCCTGCCCCCTGCAGCATGCATGGGGGGGCTGAGGGCCCCAGGGGTGATGTGGGGCTCTAGGCCATAGGTGTGAGCAGCAACAGCGAGGCCTGTGGGTGGACTGTGGGCCTGCATGCTGCATGTCAGGATTTCTGCAGGAAGCAACTTCAGGGGTGCAAAGCACTGCCATTCATCTCAGTGTGTGTTGCATCAGAAACTTGATGATATCACTCTATGCAACATCTCGTCCATCGCTCTTTTTGTTATTATTTGTTATAGCTACCTTAAAAAGCTCAGCCTTGATTCCAAGGCCACCCTTTATAGCAGGAATACTCTGTAAGTCAGCACCAAACTCTGAAAAAATAGATGACTGTTTTCTCATTGCTTCCTATAATAATGCTCATTCCTGTCCCAGTCAGCTACCTCCGAATTCCCTTCCCCACACACACACAAATTGTTCAAACTATTTACAGTCAGCTTTCATCAATGTAATTGCTTTCCTATGGAAATGTTCACACCCTGAAGTGCTGTTCCCAAGTTTTATAGCACACAGAACATTCTCATTTTCCCTGTTGTCAGGTAATTTCTTCTTGCTCTAAGCCCATTCTCATTATAGTTAATACTGTTAGCAATACATACATTGGGGGATTTAGACAAGGGAAACGCACCAAGGTAGCACTGTATAGACAGATAGATTTAATAATGGGAATTTGCACTCACATAAAAGATCAGAACAACAGTGAAGATGTGGAGGTTGTTCAGATGCATTTTTTATTGAACTGTACTAATTCAGAATTCCTCGGGGTCTCCCATGCACTGCTAACATAGCATCTATCCTTACAGTTACAGCTTATAACCCCACATGCACTGGTGAGAGAGAGCTCAAACTTCCATATCACACAGGGGGGCATCAAGAGGTGGCGAGGACAGGATTTTGCAGTGCTTAGTTTTGGCCTAGTGCTAGCAGGCAGATGCCTTGTATCATAGGACAAGTGTTGCTACAAAGGTCTTCTTGCCATTCTTTGCTTGAAAGGCTGCTGTTACGGGAACTTGCTTAGGTTGGGAGGTAGAAGAAAGCTCCTTCATGTCTGAAGATACTCTATATAGTAAAATTCACTTTCTGCTGCCTGGCGAGATTACCTGCATCTCTGAACTGAGGATCTGACTCATTCCAGCTGTGAAGGGGCCCGCTACTGCCAACAGGACATGGATGAGACCCCAGCCCACGCTGCAGGAGTGCCCTCAGCACCATCTTCTGATATTCAGATTCTCTTCTAACCTTACAATACACACAGCACTGTGGGGGCCAGCTTTGTAATTTCCATAGGGAGATCAGCTTCATTTAGCATTGTAGTTTAATTTGGAAACAATATGCAAGCAATCTTGACCTCTTGCTTGGCTGTATCACCTTGATACAAGGTGAAACTGGAAATATAAATAGTTACACACAGCAGAAAGCAACTTGGTTATGTAAAATGAAGAAAGCACAACACACCACTACCACTCCCAGAAGAACAGTTGTAGCAGAAATGCTAAGTCCAGGCCTGAACCAGTGATCGAGCACCTGGTGGGAAGGCAGGGCCAACCGGGGGAGCTCAGGTGCAAGCAATGCAGCTGACTGGAAGAGGTGGAGCCAGAATGCGCCTCTTACCAGACCTCATTAAAGGGTTGGCAGTGGAGGTGAGGGTATCTTGCTGGAGATTTCTGCTTACCTGAGGATCTTTTTGGCCTTCTGAAGGTAAGCAGTTGTGGGTTTTTTGGTTTTTTTTTTTTTTTTTTTTTCTTTTTTTTCTTCCTACTTGTTTATATGCCTAATGCTGTTGTATCTAAGTAGATCTGAAGACCTTGCTGTTCTGCTGTCTTGTCATGTTTTCTATTGTGTTGTGACAACCACTGTCTATTATTTTCCCTTGTAACTATTATGGTTGTGTTGAACAGAATCCATGACTTCTGAATTAATAGATGCTTTTCTCACAATAGAAGTTTCCACAAATGTATCAAATTTCTCTTTACCTCATGAAAGCTGGGTTCAGAGGTCCTCAGATGACCTTCAGATATATACCTATGGGTGTATGGAGAGGGTGTGCAAGGGAGTGTGTGGATAGCTTAAAAGGAGAGGATAGAGAAATAAGGGAAGCACTGTGGTACAAACAGAGGAGATATCCAGGGATTTTAGTTTTTAATCTGCAGTAAGTTATCTCTAGAGTATGAGTGGATGGTGTTCTCCTGTAGTGATATTACCTGGGTGTAGAATCATGCTTTTCCTTACCAGTTATGCTTCAAGGAATGGTGCTGTCCTGGTTGGCCCTGTTGGAAGGAGATTTACTGTGTATGATCAGGAGTCCTTGTATAAGGTGAATGTGTTCTCCTTTGTAGGAATAGACATCCAGCAGCAACAAAACTTACTGTGTTTCACCTTTAAAAATGCTTGGTGAAACTCATGTAAAGGATTTATCTATTTCAGCTTCTATTTCATTTAGTGCCTAGGTATTTTTCACTGCATACTTCCATTCTTTATAGGATGAGGAATGCACACGGGTGCAGGTGCCATGTCCTACAGGATACTAATAGCTCTGATTGACTTACTACCCCTATTTGGGTTGTCCCCACTCCACCCCTCACTAGACTATTTCAGTGCAGCCCAGCTGAAAGAGCCTCTGCTCCTGGACTGCTCTCTGACCTGCTGGTGAAGACCCATTACTGTCATCACCTTGTTCTACTCATAGTGAGTTCATCTGTTCTGCTTGTGGTAAACCTCATCTTTACAAGCACTTGCTAACACTGGTGTGTACGCACCTTTCTGTTATAGAGGAGTACTTCACAGTGATATCTAAAAATGCTGTGCTTAGGAGTCGTTTCATCTACGGAATATAGATGCTTTATAAACACTGATGTGACATTGATATCTATGAAGATTTAATAAGTTATTAGGCTTTAGAGTAAAACAATGAAATATGTTCATGCGTAGCTTCTAGGAATGAGCAATGTACAGGTTTTGAGGCTGACACTGGGTTGCTGGAAGCTTTCCATGTTTATTTTTTGTTGGGATGTGACTGTGGAGTCCACGCAACCATACACAGTATTGCCCATCTTCAAGTGCAAGTAGGTGACTTTTTTCAGAGTGCTCAGCTTTGATCTCCTTTCTACTTCACTGCTACTGAAATGCAGCTGGGAGAATGCTACTACCTTGGGCTTTGGTTGTGAGCTGACTGAGCAATCTCCCCTAGTCCAGGAGATTTAACCCATTTTGTATTGCAGTGCCCAGACCTGCAGTTCCCTAGGCTGTAAGAAGGCTTACAGTTAAATCTGTGTGCTTAACAACCTGAGAAATGGTGAAGAAGTACCAGATGTGGAGGATGGCTGACTAGATATTTGACTGAGGAGGCAAGATCTGGCAAATGAGGAGTGTTGGCACATGATAGCAAACAAGAACTTCAGGTTAAGGATATAGTAACAGGTACTATTGCAGTAGAGAATTAATCTATCAGGCTTTGGTTTAAGGGGTTTAAAATGCTTAAGTGAAAAACAAGCATTACTTTCTGTAGACCCACAGCGTTAGGTTTCTATGAGGCAAATAATAGGCAGGGAAATATACTGCTTAGTGAGACAAGGGAGTGTTGCAGAGTAGTTACATGGCTGTGATAAGCAGAGAAGATGGCATTATTACTTTAGACAGCTTTGAGATTGCAGCTCTAGATTCAAGGTTCTAGGATGATCAGAGGCTGTGGGGCACTGTGGTACCTCCTGGTAGAGTAGGATTTTCACTGGTAGAGTGCTTCAGGTTAATGAGGGAAGCAGGAAGCAATTAGATCTTAATGTGCAGCTTACTAGGCATATCAATGCTAATTCAGTAATAGCTGCAAAGGGAGATATTTATCTTCTGTGCTTTGTATGCAGTTAGATTAGTTCACTCGGAAACCTCCTTTAATCAGCCTGAATAGGGGAAATATCCTGTCTATCTATGGTGATGTTACCATTCTGGCCCATGGAGCAGACTGATATAATGCTAATCAATGGGACTCCAGGCTGTGAGGCTAGAAATAGCTGAGTGCTCTCATGGCTGGTGCAGGGACTGTAATTACAGATCAGGAACAGACACTTGTGAACATGGAATTTTGGGGTAAAAGGAAGTGCATGGAGCATGTATCAGGAAGAAGGGTTATCCTGAATAAATAGAACCTGCATTAAGCTATTTTCACCAAAGAAGCTATTCCTATCTCCTCACCTTTCTACCTCTTTGCCACTGCACTCTAACAAGTGGTAAAATCTAATTGCTGCTTTGATTGGGATTCAAGATGCCTCTGCTCTGTGCACAGCTGATGGCTTTCAGGCAGCCAAGCTGTTCCCAAATGAGCCACCTGGAGATCAGTATTAGGACAGAGCTGAGCAGGGTCTGCTGCTGTGCCAGCTGGTGTGATGCTGTTTCCCTCACCATCCTGCAGAACCAGGGGAAGGGCTGCTTTCCTCTCCAGGTCTGCTGCAGTTCTACTCCTTTTGAGTAGGAAAGCTCTGGGAGAAAAGATGCTCTGTGTGATGTGCAGTCCTGATGTTTTTAGGGCTTGGGATAACAGAGCACCTGCTTGTATGTGGCAGCTGAGGCAATTACCAAATTGCTGGGCTGGGAGGTGGAGAAGATGTCTTTCCTTTGGGCAACAGATGGTAGTCAACTTCATGCGGTAGATATTGAGCAATTCCTGGGAGCCTTTTAGACCAAGAATCAAAGCCCTCATTCCATTCCAACTGCAGATCTGAGCAGTCTCCTGTGATCTACTGCAATTATTACCAATAACAGACTGTCCATGCTCTGTGGAACTCTTCGCTCAGAATGCAGACTTCATAATCTTTACTTTGTTCCTGAATACTCTACTAACTGTATCTAATAACCTAAAAATAAGGAGAATGTAGCTTCTTCCTGGAGACCTAGCTTCCCGTGTATTCATACAGTTCATTATCTGAACTGTTCCATTATAAGATACATTCAAACTTTTCATTGATATCCCTGTTTTTCTCCCTCCTCTTCTGATGCTTTGTCACTATGTGACAACTTATGCAACAAAACAGGAAGGAGTGAAGGGTAAAAACCCTGTGAACTAAAATCTATAGAACTACCTTGCCTTTCCTTAAAGAAGGATTGGGGAGGGAGAGCTATTTTGATTTCGAGGGTGAATCTGATGCTGAGAAAGCCTGGTGTTACAACTTCCTGCCCTCCAAGGTTCCTTGGTACCCACTGAAGCTTAGACTTGCAGCCTGCTGAAACATGACTGTAGACCTTAGGCTGAATTTTATTTCAAAAATTTCTGTGTATGTACCTCAATATGCAAACACAAAATGTGTTAGTACTGTTTTTTGAAGGTAATATTACAGGAGTGGTTTTCTAAAGCCTAGTGAGAGGTAAAGTACAGGTCTTCATAGCTTAGCATAGTAATATTGTTGCTAGAACATGCATTTTTAAAAGGCAAGCCTGCAAGCAAGTCTCAAACCAGTGATGCTAACATAAGAAATTTAATACGGTATACTCAATAGTAAAGATTTTTCTTGCTGCTTTTACATGGAGAGCTTCTTCTTGCAAGTAAGTATATTGGTATAAAGCTTAGGAATAATACCTGATGCCCTATTTATATCCTACTGCCAGCGTGATATTTCTGTTTCGCACAGGGGAGAACCAAGGTCTTCTCTGTATCTTATCTTGTCCCAGCTCTGTAAATGAAGCCTCTGAACTTGCTCAGGCTAATGGCCTGCTTCCAGACCTCCCAGCCCTGGTCAGGGCAGCTGCTGCTGTTGGCAGTGGTTACAAGGAGGGAGGAAGCTGTGTGCCTTTCCTCTCAGGAGGATACTTTCATCCCTTCCTAGAATGAGATAGACCAATGGGGAGCATTTAAGCAAGTAGGTGAAGGTCATGCATGGGAAATGTAGAGTACACAGCTGCCCTGCCTCCTTGTCTAACAGCAGAGCTAAGAGGAAGTCTCTCCTCTCTGTCTTTCTATCCAAAAACACACCTCATATTTAGTCCTCGTGAGTCTGGAGCTTCATTACTGTAACATATTATGAATCCAATTTGAGGGCTAGTGAGGTGAACGAAGCAGTCTCCTTCCCCTAGCCTGTCCCCAGAATTAGGAAGAGGGAGGCTGGGAGTGAGGAAGGCTGGCAGGTCATGGCTGGGCTCAGTCCTTCAGTGATCAAGGCAAGTTGAGTGATGGTGGCTGGGGTACATCCAGGCATCCAGCTAGTCAGATGAGTCCATAGGGGATGAGAAGGACCAAGGCTGGGAAGTTGACTTCTGGATCTGGGCTGGTGAGGAGTAAGTTTGGGCTCAAGGTCACCTACATAGCTTGGGCAGGGACCAAGGGGAGGGTCAATGCCTCTCCCAAGGGAAAGAGGAGTGGAGGCCCCCAGCAAGCCTTCTCCTAGCTCTGTTTCCAGCAACCAGATCCAAGGTCACACAGCTGCATGCTGTCAATGCTGCCTTGAGCAACAGCTGTGAAATCCCAGGGAGGGGCAGAGGCTGTATGGTTAAACAAAGATCAAAGTCCACTAGAAATTACTGGGGTCATCTAACAGCCATGTGGACAAGGCTACTGCAAAGGAACTAATTAGTTTTCTGCTTGCTGCAGAGGAGGAAGCTGGGGAAATTCCTAATGTCCTTTTCAGTAGGAGTTCAGCAAACAATCAGCCTGAATTTTGAAGTAATAGTGAAACAGGCAGAGCTACAAATAAACAAAATGAAAACTAATGGATATCCAGGCCTGGTAGTATTCATCCAGGTGTTCTGGAGGTGCTGAGGGATAGGGATGGAGTTGCTGAGTTTGAGGTGTATGATAATAGATGAAATTTAATGCTGGTAAATCTAAGTTCTGGTGAAGGCCTCACATAAAAATTGGGCTCTGATTTAATTACTGCCATTTAAGTGTGACACTGGGTTTATAATAACTATAATTTATTGCTCAGTACTAATGAAAAATACAGTGGCTAAAAGAAAAGTCAGTATGTAGCCCATAGGTTCATCCTCCTCTCCACAGCTCTATTTCCTCCATGTTAAGATGTGTTGCAGCAGTGGGAGAAAGATTTTTGTCTCTCTGAGCAGACTGAGTTTTCCATCCCTGGAAAAGGGCTGTGTGGATGATATGATACAGATGTACAAAATAATGAGTGATGTAGGAGGGGTGAATGAGTAGAGAGACTATTTCTTCTAGCATGAGTACAGAGGGCCATGAAGTGGCACTAGCAGACTAGTTCAGTATGAACAGAGGTGGTTGTTCATGTGGAGTGGGTGCTGCCTGTTGTGCTGCCTGCGGGAGGATGGTGCTGGTGCAAGAAGCTGACGTGGTTTGGAAGGGACCCTGGAAAAGTACTTGGAGAAGATTTGCCTTGAGTTTTACCCTCTAGACAAACTTCAGCAGGCTCAAGGAGTCCCTCGAAGCTGGGGAATTGCTGGTGGGAGGCATTAGGGTGGAATGGTCTCCCAAATGGTATTTACTCTTGCCATTTGCAGGCACAGCTGCAGGTTGGAAACTAAAGTAGGAAGACTAAGATCTGCTCAGATGATTCTTCCTCTTATGGTTTTATACAGGTGCATGCCTTTATTTTTTTATTTTGAAGGCAATTCAAGTTATCATTCTTAAAAACATGATTAAAAATTGGTGGGATTCTGTCCTGGATTGTCTTATGCTTCCAGGAAAATTCAGTGCTCAGTCACCTGATTCACCAAATGTTCAGGAAAGCTCCAACACTGTACAAGTGCAAGTCTTCTATGTAGTCTGAGCCTAACGCATCTGTTTTGAGTCCAGCTAGGAAGGTGAGCAGCCTGGCAACCAGCCCTCTAGCATCAGGAAACTGTGACTTTATCCATTTCTGCATAATCCTCAAGCCATTTGGAATGCTTCTGTGGAGATGCTGTCATACTCCTTGTGTAAAACCTTCTTAAAATGTTTGTTCTTCTGCATCCTTCTGCTTTTGTATTTTGAGGAAATTTGCTGAAAGTGGTTTCCATGGTTACAAGGACACGGTTGCTCTCAGAATGAGAAATCTGCAGAGAGCAAATTCACAAACCAACACATATGGAGCAAGGAAAATGTGCTTTGTATCCAAAATGGCCATTCCACTCTAGGTAAAAGCCACTGTGAAATGAGGAAAAAATTGACGTACTCAGCCCTCTTGTCTTGCTGTGAAATGTAGTGCTCTTTTATTGCTGTGTCTTTACAGATTGCTAGAAGCACTGTTATTTCTGTAGTGGTTTGAGTGTTAAAGGGTAGGGAACAGCCTATGTTGCAAAATATGCTATTAAACCAAGTTGTGTGGTTCCCTTATGTAAGGAAGAAAAGTGCTTTCTCTTTCACTTAGGATTATGCTTCCACTTTATCTGGAGGAAAGGACTAAACTCAACTGCAAAATCCAGAGTTTTGAGAGGGATGCGATGGTTTCTTCCTTGCCATTACAGTCCTTGTTAGCACTGGCAGGTACTTTGGGCTCTCTGGCCAGCTCAGGACAGTGCTTGATTTGTTGAGCCCATAATGAGAGTTGGCAGTGTTTACAGGAGGTAATACAGGGCATGTTTTAAACCCTTTTTTTATGATGCATGTTACCTGGTTGCTATAAGCCTGAAGCAGACCTTAGTCCTTTGGTAGTAACTAAAGAACTTATCACTTCTCCTAACAAAACTTTAGGGAGCCCGTACTATAAAAGCAGAGGGGAAGTTAGAAGGCCTTTTAGAAAAGGTCATTGCAGAGTGTCTGCATGCATTTGTAGCCTGGCCAGAATAACTATGTTACCCAAATCACTCTTTACTAAAAACAAACAAACAAACTGTGCTGCTCATTGTCAATCAGGCAATTTTGATTAATGTTCTGCGAGTCTTGACTGTAGTGAAAAGGCGAAGAACAGATTACAGGTAAACTTAGTTTTCCTTTTCTCCTCATCTGTGATGTTCAACTGTAGCTTTGTCTTCAATGCAGGACTGAGCAGACACCAATATCTCCAAGGTGAGTGCAGCTGCATCTCATGGATGCTGGTAAAAATACTCTGACTGATATTCCAGGCAAGGCTATCAAAGGATTTATGCAATGTAGTTTATTTTCATTAATTTCTTAAAGTTTCCTTATCTGGCTACTGTTAAATGTGAGCTTTTTGGCTAAACATACCCTAAAACCTCCCAGTTAATTTTAAGTGTAGATTTTTCAACTACTTACGAAGCCCAAATTGCGGATGTCTTTTTGTTTGCAATTTCTACAGCTCTGCAGTACTTAGGAAAATGAAATGAGTTTTTGATGGAAAGAGCAGCTAGCCATTTAGGGGAGCTTACCAAGCAGTAAAACACTGCAAATGGCAATAAACATTCAGTTCCTAAAGCAGCATGTTTTGTGACTTTCATATTCTAATGAAGCGATTAAAGTGAATTCCTCGCTATTTATTGCAGGTGGCGGCTTAGCACCACAGGATATCCATATTCTGTAGTGTGCTCTTGTGAAGTTGCTGCTGCTGAGGACTTAAGCGACTGCTGGCTGTGATGGACGGGTTTCTGCTGGGCATGTGGCTGAGTGCAGCTTGTGTTACTTGGCCACTGTGGCCTCCTGAAGTTGTGAGGGTCTTCCAGCAGAGCAGTGGCTGACTGACAGGGAAAGCTTTTGACAGATGTTTATTGGTGACCTGATAGGTCAGCTAGTGGTCCACAAATGCTTCTGCAAAGGAAAGCAGTGTTTGTGTTTGGTTCCTTTTCACCAGACTACTCTGTTGTGAGAGGAGCCTCTGCCAGCTGTGTTAAGTGAGATGACTAATATCTGCCACATACTCATTAAACACTGTATTTTTGATACATCATCTCTCTGCCAACTTAACACTCATTATGGATCCTAATTAGTACTATTTGCCTCTTAATTAATATGAGCAGAGTAGAAACTTCAGTAAAACCTAAGCAGCTAAGGAGCTCACATCAGCCTTTACAAAAGCAGCTTAGAGATAGGAAAGCAATTGCATTGGACTAAAATGGTGTGCCAATAGCAATGTGCTGGCTACTTCTGAAAACTGGGGCATGGGCCTGGCTGGCATTAGTGTCTTTTGGTCATCTCAGGGAGAAGCTGCACAACATGGTGATGACGAATTCCTTCTGTTATTTGTCACTCCTGACAGTTGGCCTTCTGCATGATGTTACTACACTTTGAGTATGAGGATAGTTATAATTCATTTGGAAGTTGGCTGCTCATGTGCCAGAAGGTCAAGGTAATCTTGCAGAAGGTTTCTATGATGTCTGCAGCTGTGTGTTAAATCCATTGCATCAATTCCTCAAGGCTATCTTGCTGTGACCTGATATGCACTGAAATTATATGAAAAGAGCAAAAAAAAAAAAAAAAAAAAACCACCCCTGCTTTACAGATAGTATCTGTCAAAATGCATATAAGACTGAGTGGAAGGGAATATGGAAAATCAGCACTAGGGCACATGCTGTTTTTCTCAGAGCATAAAGCTGCTTTCTCACCTTCATCATCACTTCTGGAGCACCACTCCCTTGGGTTAGTCTGTCTAAAGTTGATACATAGAGAAACATGATGGGAAACAGCTGGAGAAAAAGAATCTGTTCTCAGGACTTTCTCGGTTGCTGATCAAATCCTACGCTTTTTCCTCCTTCACTGAGGCCAAGTCTCTTTGGACAATGGACAAGCAAAGAGATGATCTGAGGGTCTGACAATTTGCTATCTTGAAGGAACACTGTGTTTTCCAGCTGACCTAGCCTGAAAGACCTGACCTTTTATCCTCTAGCACAAGAAACGTGCTAGTTTAAAACTACTGTGGATGTACTTATTCTTACAGCTCTTTTCTAGAACTTCCCTTTTTTTATATATACTGTGTATCTGTAAAAACTAAAAATTGACAAGTCAAAAGATCAAAGCCATTTTTAAAAATAAGGCTTTATTTCTAACTGAACCACTACTTCAAAAACCACAGCTCCAAAAGCTGCAGATCTGGGTGTATGGAGGCATTTCTGCAGCTTAAAAATAGGGAAATGTTTACAGGATGAGTTCAGCCTCTCTTACTGCAGCATGTAAATGTGCAGTCAGAAGTATAGGGGCTCTTGGATGGAGGCCAAGGTCTTGATTCAGTTCACAGTGAAGCAAAAGGAAAGATGCACATTCAATTGAGAGCTTTAGGTATGACCCTTGACCAATGATGCAGAAGATATTAATGGAGCCATTTCCAGTTGCAGAGCTTGCCTCTGACTCTGTCTATGCAGTAGCTGTCTTCTAATGTTCACAAGCTAGCAGCAGTGCCCTTCTGGGGGAAGGGGAACTTTTAAAGTAACTTCTAGTACTTGAAGAACTTGAGTTCTGTGTCCATGAAGTCCATAAGGAGAAAAAGGGGAGACCTTGGAGAATGGCCTGCTAAAGGCATGTGTCAGGCACAGACTTGAGGAACTGCTATGAGATCGTGAGGAAAATGTGCTCAGTTAAAGCCATTATGTTAACTCAGAGCTGCAGTGTATAGTACAGATTGCAGCTCACCAGCTGCGTAACTGAAGATTTTACTTTTCTACAGCTAAATTTGTCCAGACTTACCTACTGCAGCCAATTCTGGATCTTCCTTTCCGATGAACATCCTCCACCTTGGTTTGAGCTGGGAAGAATTCATGTATTCTGGAAAGAGGGGATTTCCACTGTGTGATTTAGATCTTCCCCTTAACTTGGAGCCAGTGAAAGGAAGACTGGGTCTGAGTGCTGCTCAGGAGAATCTAGCTTTTGTGGGAAGGTGCTGGAGCAAATCTGAGCATATCTCATGCTGAGCTGAACATAAGGAGAATCTCAAAGGTATTTCTTCCTGCTGGGTTCAATTAACATGCATGCCCAAAGAAGGGCAATAAGTCTGTGGAGGGCCTGCATCCTTATGAGGAGTAGCTGAGGCAACTGGAACTGTCTGTTCCTGAGCCTCCTCCTCTCCAGAAGACTTCATTGCTCTCTATAATCACCTGGATGGAGGTTGTGGTGAGGTGGGTGTCAGCCTCTTCTCCCAGTGATAGGATGAGTGGTAACGTTCTGAAGTTATACCAGGGCAGGTTCAGGTTAGATGTTAGGAAAACATTCTCAGAGAGAGTGGTGAGCACAGATTGCCCACGGAAGTGGTAGAGTCACCATTCCTGGAGGTGTTAAAGAAATATGTGGTTGTGGCACTGAGGGACATGGTAGGGATGGGTTAACGATTGGACTAGATGATCTTAAAGGTAGTTTCCAACCTTACTGATTCTATCCTTGGTGAGGGTCTAGCAGGCTTCAGAACAGCAAACATATCCATGTAAGTAGAGCTGGGAACAAATTAATCAGAAGTCAGACCAGCAGAGCTATTCCCATCTGCCTTTTGTGGGTATTACAGACAAAAGGTAACAACTGAGTTGCTTGTAGAGCTATTCCAACCTGCTTGGGGGGGGAGGGGAGCGGGGGAGCTTTTGCTGCTGTAATCCAGAAGTCCTTTTGGTAATAAGGATGGCTGATTCTTCAATTAGTTAGGCTTCCCATCAGATTTAGTGTTTCCATTTAGAAATAAGTGCCAGAAAGAAACCAATATGCTGTATTTCAAATGCAAAGGATGTATCTCTTCAAAGAAAGTGTAGCTACAGTTCTGATTTGATCTTCCAGCTTTAGCTGAGCGTATGTTCCCTAGAAAATAGGTCACAGCAAGAAAGGCAGTTTTAAGTTGAAAGGGAAAAAAAGATGAGCTGCAGTGACTCAGGAGACAAGGCTTTGGTGTTCAGTAGATGAATGATACTGACAAGCAGCTTGCTCTCAGTTGAGTGTAAATATTAATACCTTTCACATTGTCAGATGCTGCCTTTTACTAAGAACTACTAAATAACAGTATTGCAGCCTACATTTCTGAGCTCAGAGGGCTATGTGGCAGAGAAAAATGTAAGTGGTCACACTTCATCTCTCTTGAATGAGAGATTCCAAATATCATTTATGATCTGTGTGAAAGTGACAGACATTGCTTTTCAGTGGCTTGCTAAACACATACAAAACAAATGCTACTATTACTGCCTTGCTGCAAGTGTCCATTTACTCTGTGGCTGTTTTCTATCCTGGCATGTCCCTCAGAGCTGTGTTTCTGTACTCTGTGAGACAGCCAGGATTCTTGCTTGAATCCTTTTTCTTCTGGCTGTAGCACCAGTAATGATATCACACCTGTATACCTCAAACCTCCTCATTCTGGCAGAAATGCATGCTTCAGTACACGGATGGATGTCTACCTTGCAGTAAGAGGCAATGGGCTGCTCCATTTGTATTGGCCAAGTGCTGTGAGGCTTCCATCTTCCTGTATCCCTTCAGCTTTTGTGGAAATTGATATTGTCTGACTTGTTCCTAAGTGACTGTTTATTTTCCCCAACATTTTTGCGTGTACTTTAGGTACAGTGAACACTTGCTTTAGTTCAGTATCAGAGTCTGGCTAGCCTGTGGCTGCAGAGGAATGGCTTTGATGGCTTCAGTAGTTCCTGATAGCTCTGGTGTTTGCTTTTTCTGCTTATATATTGAGTTATTTCAAGCACACAATCATGTGTTTCTAAAATGGAATGGGGTTAAACAGATTTTTTTTTTTAAAGGTGGGGTTCTTCCTGGGATTTACATGCTGAGCCCAAGCAGGATGCTTACTGAGTTTGCTCCTTGAGTTCAGTTTTCTCACTTTACTATGGCTTTCCTATTTTTTTTCCTTGTAACAAAGAACTTTTATGATACTGAATTACTTCCTAGCTAATTATCACAGCTGCTTGAGTGTAATTTGAAACATGTGATACAGACAATACTGTGATTGAGTTTCATTCTTGTTTGCAATAATCTGCATTCTTGTTCCCCTAATAATTGCAATATAGCAATCTGGAGAGGGTCTACGTGTCATTCTTACCAGTATAATGCTGTTCCTAGGGAAAACAATTATTTTAGGACTGACACTTTCCAGTGGGGTTGAAGGAATGACTCTTCAGAGCCAAGTATAAACATGGGAGTCAAATGTACGTAGACAGTCATAGCAGTCATAGATATATCTGTGACTTTACCAACCGTTCTCATGCTAAAATAAACCTTTACGGTCTAAATGAATAAAAAAAACTTGGATCTAAATACCAGGCTGGGAAGTTGCACCTTTACTCTGCCTACATCCAAGAGGTCCAATTAGGCTTCTTCAAAGACTACTGAAACTACTAATGGAGGCTGGCTGCTGGGTATGGTGTGAACATATACAAGAAACCTAACTCAGAGCAGAACCATGCTTTAAAAAAAAAAAAACCCTAAAACACATGGACAGCACTGTGTGGATTTACTTGTCCCTCCTTAATTGTTAACCTGCTGGCCAGTAGGGAAGGGCAAATGAGAGGAGCTAAAATGAGACAACTGAAATAACTTGGAAAACTCAGAATTAAGTACCAGGAAATGACAGTACAGAGGAGACATCCTAAAAGATCAAGAAGGAAAAACGGAATTTATCTTGGGGAACTTTTGCTCTGAATAGTCTCTAATATTTTGAAGTTATGCTGTCCTTGGCCACGAAGGAGGATTTCCTTGTGTTCGGTTCAGTACAATAGGATGGTTCCTGCCACAGATAACTCATGCTTAATGAGTTATTAACTTACTGAACAGACACAGGTTGCAAACAAATGCCAGGAGAGAGGATAATTTGGCTTTGTTTTTGAAAGTGTAATAATGGAATATCTAACCAACATTAGCAGCAGCTCCAATTCCTGTCTGCATTAATGTTTTTGGTAAGATAAAAGCTAATTCTGAACAAGAGCTTTTCTAACTTGGATCAATCATTATGAGAGGATGGCATATTTCTGGAATCTAC